CCCCTGTGTGTACGGTGACCGGCACAGCGACCTCAGTTCCAACATCTGACCTGGATACCTTTGGTATAACCAAAGTTTTGTGACAGTATGACTGACAAGTTTTGTCGTTGTTCTGGGGTAAGTTTGATGGTGTAAGATCGGATTTTCGCATCGTTTTTGTGACACGTACATGATATGCCTTGTCTCAACTCCGGCCGAAAGACTTTGCACGCCGTCGCTCTAATACAGTGGTTGGTGTACACTCGGCACATATCTGTAGCTTTCGAAATTACCTTCATCATCTCCTGTAATTTATTTACCCATAGTGGAGAATTACAATACCATATATCGTCGTCGAATCCTGCGTTGTCCCGTGTTTTTTGAAACAGATGGCAATTACCCGGGTGCACTGCAATTTTGTCAGCTGCCGCTACCGGACACCGGTTGTTATTGGTGGCATACATTTTTGCCTGTGACTCATAGTTTTTTGCATTTTTGTCATTAAATCCCTCAATTATATCTTGTACTTAAAGATCATGTTTTCTTTGTTGGAAGTTCGCAATCCATCTCGTGTAGGCACCTCACGGTGTTGAGGGACGGTGGTTTAGGTTTGTGTGGCGAACGACAAGCACCCAACGACCGACGCTCACAACTTGGATCCCACCATTAACAAAAAGCAATATTATAGTTATATAACTTTTCAGATGTTTTTAATTCAGTATTTTTTTCAATATTCTTCCAAAATTCAACCACTATATTTCCCTAAAAATCAAATAATACCGGTTTTATGTATTTCCGTATTAAACCTGTAGTCAATTCATGTTCCAGGGCCACTTGGTTTAGCCGTGCATTATCAGCCAATATACCATGGATTGCATATGCAAATTTTGTGTTTGGACCAATCAAATCAATGGATTAACACCATCAATATACTGGTATAATATAATTGGCAATAATCATCATATTAGTACTTGTGTCTCAGGTGTCTCTGTTTTGATCATTTGTTCATGCAACCGAAATCACTATGAACATATTGATAGATTAACTAAAGACAAACCATGTTATAATTGAACGATAATGAACGATCCACAAATGAAAAAACAGTGCTTTTAATGTGAATGTATGAATAAAAACATCTGAAAACAGGGATACTTTTATTTGTCTATGCAAACTGTGATCCCGGACTGTGACATTTACCGAGGAGTCGTCCCAAGGAAATACAAATCATTTCGGTCTTTCACGACGATGTTCTTACACAATCTCTATATTTAATTTCGTTATTATTGGCAATAGACCATTTTATTTGATGCCGATTTTGGTATTAATAACTCGTTAGATTCTCATTCATTTGTTTCCATGCAAAAACAGCATTGTATTCATATTCATGGCACGAGGATACATTATCGCGAATAATCTGCAGCAATGACGTCATAAAATCCACTGGTATTGATAATGCTATAATATAATATAATGTCTGATATTTTCCTGGGGTTCATACATTTAGTTTTGTTTTGTTTTGCGGTCTTGAATATCATATTATATAACAGTTTATGTTCATATAACGATACGCCAAACAAGCCACACTATTTACTTATATATGAGATATAGTTATCAGATTGCTGATGATCATTAAATTATAATTATAATTATTTAAGGTAGCATCAACACATGATTTCCCTGAATGCATTGCTTACACTTACACAACACGAAGCGCACGTTCATGTGTTGATATATTTATGACAATAAGCAACAAATAGCACTGGTATAATTACAGTAAATTGTTGAATAAGTTAAATGACAATCACTTGCCCTTGATTTTATTTTTCTCCATTCTACTTTGCATTACAGATGTGAATAATTGTGTTCTGTAATCAAAGGCAATATTAATGGTTTGAAGAAATCGTTCCTATTAATTGTTTCGTAGTCGCGCACAGCTTCGTGTCGGGAAATTCGTAGCTCTGTTCCACACAGTAAAATGTTTCAACTGTCCAAGACTTTGTATTTACTGGGAATATTCCATAGCAATAGTTTATGTATTTAGGTGATACTGAATAAATGGGTCAAAATGGGAACATGTGTGATGGTGTTCTGAGTTGTATGTATTTGCATGTATAGACTTTGGGAGATCGCTTATCCCTATGCCTAGTTTATTATATTGAGAAAATAATTTCTTTCAGTCATAATTAAATTGATATGATTGCATTCTAGAATAATATTCAAATATGGACACCATATAAGAATGTTCACTGTAAAAATTGGTGACAATGTTTTGGTGAATTCTCCTTTATTTCGAGATACTGTAGAATACTTTATTTTCGCTTGAAATTTATTTTCGCTATTTTCGCTGAAGGGATGATTCCGTGAAAATAAAATCCAGCGAATATACTTTTTTTCCTATATTTCACATTAAACTCATCAAAAATCTGTGAAAATAAATTCCATACAAAAACGCCCAAAAAGCCTTTTCAGCGAAAATAAAGTATTCCACAGTAGTTGAGATGTCATCTCAAGTGTACTGCTTTGCTCTGAATTGGAATCAGAAATGTTGAACCGCACTGTGTTTCTTCCAATTGATAAGGTAATTGATCTGTAATAATTGACACAGTCTGTCCTGAAAGAAAAAAAAAGCATCCTCGACCACCAAATGATCAAAATCGGCCCAACATTTCGGAACTTCAATGCATTCATTGTTAACGTCTAGGTACGCATTTTGATGTATGCTTCCACATCCATTTGAACACTCTGAATTGATATCTCATCACTTCAATCAGAACTGACCTTAGTCCAAAAGGTTAACTTAAAACATGTAATTGTGATGAAGTCAGTGCTGCTTTGAAGTCATAATTTGATTAAGGTGGTTTGCAAATAACATAATTCGCCATGATAGTGATTCCTTGAGTAAATGTGCATAATCAGTGCTGGGAGATTTCACAATACAATAGACTCCAAGTGCCGCCCATATGTATACACTGAGTAGTAATTAAAGCGATGTACAGACTATGGTTGCAATCCAGATAGTGGAGTAATTCTTTGTATAGGATGGGTAGCGATTAAATGACAGACTTGATAGTGATCAGCTTATCGTGACCACTCTTCTCAAATGTTTGATTAAGTACCACAGTGAAAATATCGTCATTATCTTTGCCTGCAGATAAGTTTCCAGGCAACAAAGTCTAGTTCAGAAATTGACACACATCTTTTTTCAAATGCATACGTAACCAATTCAATATAAAGTCGTGATGCAGAAAAGGTTCTTTGTACTGAGTAGACAATGCAGCAACTTTAGCTCTCAAATAAGAGACTTTCATCACATGATGAACTATGTTACATTTACTGTGTTTGTTCCGAGGTCCAAGTGCATTTGTACTCGTACTGGTGTCAACCACTTTTCAAATAATTCGTACACAGTTGCGTTAGAGTAGCCATTTTTTCGAGATAGCGATGAAAACTATAACAAAATAAAGAAATCACATGTCAAATGACGTCATCTCTGACTGAACGAACGAGCGTGAACGACTTACAGACAATGCATGGAAATTGCAAAAAATACATGTATGAAAATGACGACACCCAGCGCTGAGGTCGCCTGAGAAACTGAGTCTACACCCAGCGCTGAGGTCGCCTGGGAAACTGAGTCTACACCCAGCGCTGAGGTCGCCTGAGAAACTGAGTCTACACCCAGCGCTGAGGTCGCCTGGGAAACTGAGTCTAGTATTCTTTTAGAAGGACTTTGGGTAGCGATTTTCGGTCATACAAAATGTGTTTAGCGTACGCATATACGACTCATAATAGTTATAACGAACTCTGACCTACACTAAACGTAACGTCCGCGCCTAAAGAGGGCGGTCTACTGTTAAAAGTGAAAGGACGTTCAGCACAGTGTTGTCGTGTGATAGGCATTGTTTCTGTTGGGAGCTGGGAACAGCACGGAGATGTTTGCATGGATCATTTACTACGAAGTTTACATCTGCATTGAGGTGAAATATCAGAATGGTTAAAGTGGTGAACCTGATGTCGCGACCTTGGGAATACTTTTGAAATTCGTAGATAAAGTGTACTATTTCATTTGAGACGGAATTATATGGATGAAACTAAAGTATCAAAACAGAAAACTGCTATACTGGTTTAAAATAACATGTACTGAAGTAAGCATTTATTATATTTAAAAAGAATTGCTTTGTTTATAACTACCAATGATACCCACGATGCGTTCTAATGTATAACACCACTTACATTGTAAATTTACAACCTTGGCCATCCATCCGTTCTTTCGCACGTCAATGCCCGAACTATGTATCAATTGATAGCATATGTCATTAAGATAATGGCAAAGCGAATTATATTTGAACTTGACTTGAATTTTACATGTTCATGAAGTATTGAGTTAATAAGGAGTGGGTCGACAGTTTGCTAACACACAATTGTATATCAAATATGATATTTTGAATGGAAGAAGACAATTTTATGTTTGATACACTAGTTTTACCATTTCTGGATAAACAAGTTAGAACGTCGGGACATTTTTTTAGATTCTGTACAGCGACCTCATGACTGACAGTGCGTGGTTTCTTGTATTAATGAGAAACCAGACATAATGTTATTGGCCATAATTTCCTAATACATAATGTAGTTGAGTGAGTGGATTTATGGTGAAATTATTTATTTCGATATAACGGTCTATGTGCTAACGACACCAATCTGCCCCTTGGTGTTTCCTACACTTATTTAACCGGAGTTTGCGGAGTTTTGTGGTTACAAGACACCATATACTATATTTTATGTGGTGACGCACTAACCCTCTAGTACGTTTTCCAGGCGTCGAATAATTTCCAATTTGTCGAGTGTTAGCCAAACCCACCAAAGATTAAGCTGCAATAACCAGAACAAAATAGGAAAACGTATAAAGAAATAACCGTATTAAAATAACGACACAAAAACGTATGTGGATCATGAGCAGGAATTGCATACGCAATTAGATTAGAAAGGTACGCAGCATGGGTACTACTATATTAATATGACAATTAACATTCCACTTGGTAACTCTGTGTACATGAACTGCGTGTATTTACTAGTGCAGCAGCGGGTATTTGTTTTATGTTACTTGTTCTGCGTTTTACATATTTAACTTTTCCCTTGGAATATGGCTGGGGTGGTAGCCCCAAGTACGACCCCCCCCCCAGTCATCATATAACCAGAACATAGTCCATGTTATTGTTTACCAAATTGAATATTATAAAGTATTGTTATATACACCCCCTTGGCCATTTTCGCCGATTTTTCGTCGCCGGAGCGATTCGAGTCCCAAATTTTGGTTCTCCGGGCGTCTCTAATAAATACCCTATCTAACCGCTGGACTGAATTAGCTAAATTATGAAAAAATCATAGAAGATTGGGCGAAAATCGGTCGTTTTTGGCCTCAACGTTTTTTTGCTCGGAAACGCAAGGGCGATAAGATTCGAAACTCAGACGGTTTCTATTGTTTCGAGTCTGTTGTGTGTCTAGAAACATAACAACTTTGTTTGTTGGTGAATATAGAACATGCTCTGTTCCAATAAAGGATTTTGATATGCAAATCGAACAATTTTAATATTTCCTTATTGTAACATCTCCCATATAGTCTACTTCCCAGAGTTTGACAATGGTACTAGCCCAGAATTGACTTTCTGTTCAGCGCGTTTTGGGATAGTAGGAATAAAAGCAAATAGATGGAAATGCCAGTTACGTCACTCATAAAGATTGATGATTCGATTGCTGGCCGGGATATATGTACTAAGTGTTCATTTCTATACAATATGTCCACACCTGCGATTCTCAATTTCGATGTGTAAAATCATATCGCTGCTGTGGACAGCGACGGCTGACAAATTGTTTTGGTTCTGCGGCTTTCTTGGCATGGGCAACTGATTTTTAGGTTTACTTGGTCGTATTATGTATATACCACTCAGACACTGACAACAAGTAAGTAAACGGGACGGATCATAGTCAACATAGGACTCTGAAGGCCCCGGAGAAAGCGTCATCTTACAACATTAATGAACAAAAATTACAATTTCATGCTTCCGATATACTTCAAAATAGAAATAACATATTTAACTGTTGTTGATTTTTGAACAAAATTCCAAGAACACAAAAGAAACAACTTACAACAATCGACAAAACAAAAACCCTTCACAGTCACAATGTCAGTGAATACAATATTTATTAAATTGCAGCCTCCATGGACACGCTCACAGCCTCTAATATTGCAAAACCATTAGTTGTGGACTGAACTTTAAATCTACTCAGGATTTCCACATAAAGTTACACAGATATAAAAAAATTAAATATTAAGACAAGGAAAAATAATGCTTTTTGTCAAGGCTATATTCTAATTTTGGAGGTATTTTTGTGAGTGTACATGTATGCATTAAAATTATCGTAACTTAAAATGTAATCATAGTACAAATGTAAAGTAAACAAAATTATCGAGTGAAAATTATATGTGGTGGTGGGAATTGCCAAGCCAGTTTATAAAACAAGCAGGTAGGCTGGTTGTCGATCCGCTCCGCTCAAAAACAAGCAGCATCATGTTTTCGGCTGTTGCCGTGGTAGGAGATGAACGTGAAGCTAACGGCGGTTTATAACTAAAACCGGGTCCCGTATACGAAGTTCGCAAAAAACCGTTCGGTCTTTAGAAGTCACTTTACTGTATTGCTAGGACGTATTCTGCTGTTAAATTTATTATTTCCAACTGTTTTGTGATAGTATTTTCTAGATTGAAGGCAGCATTTACAGTTCATTCATAGTTCAAATTTGCCTTGGAATTACGTTGATACAGTGTAACAATGTTGGCGCTGCTGATCTCCTACTTGTCTGCCAAGTTTGAGGGAAATTGGCTAAGCCAAAAAAATCACAAAACAAATAATACGTGAAAACACTGGAAATCACACACACACAAAAGTGATTTTAAGGGCAATCCTAGCGGAGCGGATTGCCAATAGTGAACACAAATTTGCGTAAATATTACTGACCGCAAAGAACGCTCATCGCGAAGTGTCTTGTAAATATGTTAAA